TAAATCGATCCTCATAAAATTGCAAAAAATCATCATTTCATTCAAATAACATGACCTACAGTTAGATTTATTTAATTTTAATTGCTGCCTACGTTAATGTTAATAAAGCTGAACTTTATAATGATGATGATGATGATGATTAGCCATTTAGTCGAAGTCGACTTTCGGCCACTTTATGGATCTGTCTTCTCCATGCGTTCCTGTCCTCGACGATTATTTTAAGTTCTGAGATCGTCATTTTGGTGGCCGATGTGATTGTATCAAGCCAACGTATTCTTTGCCGTCCGTTTCTTCTTGTCCCACTCACTTTACCTAGCGTAATTGAAGTTTCCAGCGAATTTGCGCGCATAACATGGCCAAAAAGGAGAGTTGTTGTTTGACGATTTTGCCCTCAAGCGACATTTTTGGCTTGATACGGTCCAAGACCGTCTTATTTGTTGTTCGCGATGTCCAGGGGATACGCAGTAGCCTTCTCCAACACCAAAGTTCAAAAGCGTCGATCCTTCTTTTTTCCGCTTTCTTGATTGTCCAACTTTCACATCCATAAATTGCTATGGAAAAGACAATGGCGTTGACGAGTCTCGTTTTCGTTGCAATGCTCACATCCTTGCTCCTCCAGATTTTATCTATTCCTTGCATTGCAGCCCGGCCGAGTGCAATCCGCCTTTTGATCTCTGGTCCAGATTCGCCGTTTCGGTCAATTTTGGCTCCCAAGAAAATGAAATCTTGTACTGTCTCGATCTGTTCATTGTTGATCTTGATGTTTACTGCATCATTGCATGCCGTTGTCATTACTTTCGTTTTCTTGATGTTGAGGTACAGTCCCATGCGTTCACTTTCCTCTTGAACTCGTTGGATCAAGTATTCCAGGTCTTTCTCACTTTCTGCGAGTATAGTTGTGTCATCCGCATATCGCAGGTTGTTGATAGTCCTACCTCTAAGTTGGACTCCGATTGTGGTCTCGTCCAGATTGCATCGTCGCATGAAGGTGTCGGCATAGAGGTTAAACAGAGCTGGGGATAACATGCATCCCTGCCTGACGCCTTTACCGATTTTGAACCAATCGGTCTTACCATACGATGTTCTGATAGTTGCTGCCTGATTTTCAAGAAAAACGCAATGCATCGTACACTCAGGCACATCTCAGATAGACGTCTCTGCTCTCCAACTTGGCCGCGGTACCACAGGACCTGGCAGCATAACGTTGCTACGTCGCACTGCACGTTGATATCTTTATCATTTTACTCATTGAAAAGTTTGACCAACAAATTATTGTGATTCGAACCAGATGACAACGACATGGCTCATAGAACTTCTGAGTTAACTCGTTTTGGAAATTTTTTTTGAAGAATTAATTTTTACAGGGGAATTTAAAATAGAAAAAAATTTACGCAATTGTATATATTTATTTTATTTAACTACATAATTAATAATTTAGTACAATTTAAACTTAGATCTGCTAAGCAATATTATACAAAAAGATTCGTCAATATTGGTCTTGTCACCGAGTTATGCGACCATGCAGTACTTGGAAACAAGTCGTAAAAACAATTCGCACGTAAAGTTCAAAGGTGAGATGCTGTTGTTGTTTCTGTATTAATTTGTACGATTCTAATCCATCTTAATTAACAATTAAACCCTTATTTTTTAACGTTTCACAGATTCAAAAAATATTCACGTGAATAAAGTATATCAGAGCCACAAAAATAAAGATGTTCAATGGTTACCCCTACTGAAAAAGAAAAAAACGCAAGAGGATAAACGTCTCCTCCTCCGCAACAAGATAGTTCACGTCGAAAGGTTTGCTACTTCGCTAACGTAAACCGCATGGTTCCTCTTATTTAAGATACAATTGTAAAAAATGAGTTGCTTTATAAATCTACATATCAAAGATTTTTTGTTTCAGAAATGTTATTTGAATAATTTTTTTTCCTGTTCAGAAAACTGACGAAGATTGAGAACGG